CTGACGATGAGCCAGCAATGTGTGCTCGCAGCCCATAAAGTCAGCTGTATCCTGGGCTGCATCAAGAGAAGTGTGGCCAGCAGGTCAAGGGAGGTGATTCTCCCACTCTGCTCCACTCTCATGAGACCCCACCTGGAGGACTGCATCTAGCTCTAGGGTCCCCAAGATACTAAGGACATGGACCTGCTCGAGCGGGTCCGGAGGAGGCCACAAAGATGATCAGGGGGCTGGAGCACCTCCCCTATGAAGAAAGACTGAGAGAGTTGGGGTTTTTCAGTCTGATAAAGAGAAGGCTCCAGGGAGACCTTTTAGCAACCTTCCAGTACTTAAAGGGGCCCTAGAGGAAAGATGGGGAAAGACTTTTCATCAGGGAGTGTAGGGATAGGACGAGGGATGATGGGTTTAAACTAAAATAGGGTAGATTTAGATTAGATATAAGGAAGAAATTATTTACTATGAGGATGGTGAGACACTGGCACAGGTTGCCCAGAGAGGTTGTGGCTGCCCCCTCCCTGGCAGTGTTCAAGGCCAGGTTGGACGGGGCTTTGAGCAACCTGGGCTAGTGGAAGGCGTCCCTGCCCATGGCAGGGGGTTGGGACTAGATGGTCTTTAAGGTTCCTTCCAACCCAGACCAGTCTGTGATTCTATGAATCATAGACTACTTCAAATGTAGATATTCTGGGTTTTAACTCCTTTCCTCCCTTCCCCTATCATGTGGTGCTTTCCTGTCCAGTTTCTTTCAGACATGCCAGTCTTTGCTAATACGTCTTGAGTCAGATTAGCTCGTGGATACAACAGAAAGCTAACAATACTAACATTCAGTGTTTTCTTTTGGATCAGTGAATTAAGGCAACTTGTCATTTGGTTCCATAATCACAAGGAAGGAAAGGGGAGCAATCACATCTTCTGAGTAGTATCCTGCAATTGGCTTATACTGCTGAAGTGAGAAAATCCTGTTTCTGTGTTACAGCTGAGGACTCCTGAGAGTGGGAGGGATCATGACCTACCTTATTTTGAACTGCAGTGAGATAACTATAATAAATATGACTTGTTTAGAGGTAACATTCTTTTCCTGTGACCATAGAAAAGCAAGGTAGGATTCTGTGGTTCGCAGTGAGCCGGTTTAATGTTTTACCCAGAGGAGCAAGACAGTTGCTGCATTTGAATTACCAAAGATTTTTCTAAATAAAGTTCTTTTGGAAACATTGCCTCTAATGTAATTATTTTCAGATGGGTTTGTTAGAGTACAGTCTTCAGTGTTGCTGGGCATTTTGTGTTCCAACTTTAACTTTTGGGTTTGTTAACTGCAGTCTTCCTTCCAAGTAACAGCTAGAGTTCTGAAGTCCTTCATCTTGTCTCTCTTTGGTAACAGGCTACTATGAGTTCTTTCCTTAAGCATTTTCTTTTTCCCAAAAAAGCTTCATGTCCTCTGCTGTTGTTGATAGATTAGAAGTCTGTCTCCCTGACTTCTTTGAAATTTCTTCTCACCTTTGGTCTCTCTTATCTTTGCTGTTTTGACAGCACCACAGGTTTTGTGTTAGAAGTATATGCCAACATTTTTATTGAAAGTGAATCTGATACTCCCATAATCTTCTGGTAATACCCAGATTAGAATAAACTGTAAATTTATCTCCAAGCTACTCTGAGGTGACAGTAATCTTACATTTTAGTTTTCTGAAGCCTTTAAATTGTATAGTATTTATAGAGCATTTTCCCTTTCTTAAAAAGGCCTTCACTTGTGGGGTGGTTTTTTACTGTTTGTTTTGTTTATCTGATATGCCTCTTAACATTCAATAAGAAAATTACATGGATTGTAAGCACCAAAATAACTATCATAAAAAACCCAGTATGATCATATTGTGGTATTCACTGCATTTGAACTGTTTGGAAAAAGCCATCTCTGTGAAAAGGTTATCATGCATGGAAAGGTTCTACTAAATCACAAAAATAGACCTACCAGCCTGAAATGTTATTATTTTGCTGAGCAGTACTATTAATCATCCTGATTTAGGGACTAACAGCATAAACAGGATCTAAGTAGTGGTGAGGTTGCTATATTAATGTGTATTTGGTGGTAGAAACAACAAATGATAGTGCAGAAGCCTCCTGCTGCCTTCCCTCCTCTGTGTTGTTGGTATTTGTTTTACCTGCGTGCTGTACCTTGATGACTGTCAGCATAGTAAGAAATACTCCCCCCAAGAAGTTCTACCCATTTTCCTGTCTCTGCATAATCCATCTTGCTGAGATTCCAGTCTGGGTGTCTTACTGGTTCGGGTGTCTTACTGGTTCGGGTGTCTTACTGGTTCGGGTGTCTTACTGGTTCGGGTGTCGGGTGTCTTACTGGTTCGGGTGTCTTACTGGTTCGGGTGTCTTACTGGTTCGGGTGTCTTACTGGTTCGGATTACTGGAAGGGCTCTGGAGGATTATTAGCAGGGCTGCTAACAGAAATCACCTGAAGCTAGAACATTTGCTAATACGGAGTGCTGACCTCTTTCTTTGGTGTGTAGGGTTGTCAAAGGCTAAAAAGGCAAGGCTTGGTTAGGCTTCTGTGTAGTTAGGAGTAGGCAATAATCCATTTAGAAGCTGGTTCGATAGTAGGAATCTATCTCTGGGAGACTTTGTGATCCTCCCGTAAAAACCTTTGCGTTTCTGCTTCTGTTGTGCTGAGGATGAGAGATTCATTTGAAGAACAGCCTGATATATTGTGGGGGCTTAAAAACTTAAAGCTTACATGTTAGGTTGCTTTGTTTTTATTTGAACTCCAGGTAACAAGAAAAATTGAACTATAAATAGAAAGCTTAACAGTGGGAGTAATATAATATAGATCGTTTGTACACGTGAGTGAATGACCTTCATAACTAACTTATGAGTCACTCTAGCGAGAATAAATTAGACTACAAAACAACTAATTGCAGTGGTTTTACTTGCTATCTGATACACTAGTCTGACCAAAAAAATCGCCTTTTTTCAAAATGGACATAGTGCTTGTTTTGGAAAGAGTAACTTTGGTAGTAGGTTCCCATATTTCCATGCCTAAATGTTGGTTTAATTTCTGTTGTTTTAAAGGTAACAACAGGTCATCTTTATGTTGAAGAAAATCTTGTTCTACATTAAAAAAAAAAAAAAAAAGCACAAAACAAAAAAGCATCTGAGGTAGAAAAAAAAATAATCTTAGCACTTGATTGTCTAGCGTATGCAAGATAAAAGTTTGCCACTGACTTGTTTTATTCAATAACTGGAAAGCTAGGGTTATTTTTTTGTTCTTGGCATTTTATGTCTTTGCTTATGGGAGCATGTGCCTGAACCTCAGTAGCAGCCTTTGAGCATAAATAAATACATTGTGACGTTTCACTTTTGTTAAGTAATTGCACATAGATGGTAATGATTTAATTTTTTTTTTTTTCAAGTACCATATTGATTGCTTTAATACTGTCACTATTACATTAACTTGGTGACTTATCATAAATCAGCTTGGATTTTTGTGGGGGTACAAAGGTGGAGTAACTACTGTGTTTCTGACCTTCTCTTTGTCAATTTGTAGTTCTGAACAGTCATGCAATTATAAGAATCTTTCCTTGCTTTCATACTTATACTGCTGCTATCGCCAGCTTCTGCAATTGTCAGTAAAGCTTATTCTGAGCATTGTTTCAGACTTAACTTTCAATATTGAGTCCCCACTTGTAAAACTTGGTAAAGTAATTGGTACTGTACAGCTCTCATTCTGGGAGAGTTGTGATTGATGAGTAGTTGAAGTTTCTAAACTTCTCTGATTTTAATGCAAGTAATATGTGTATTGAGTATCTGTTACATTGTTACATGATTGCAATCATAGGTTAGTTCTTTGTTGTCAGAGCACTAGTAAAAAGCATTTTTCAGATAATGCTAGTAATAACTATTTTTTAGGAAAATGTGATAAAGTAAATAAGTATTGCTTCTATGTGTGTCCAGTTCACATCCCCCCTGCCCCCCC